GGAGCTGTGGGGCGTGGGCATACTATGATTCCCTGTCTGAGTCTCGCAGAAGTGAGATTTTGCGAAGTTTTCCCCGCAAGAGCCTCTCCCGAGACAGGAGCCCGTGGCTCCAGCGGAGCCAGCTCCCAAAAAGGGCGTGACGAGCATGATTGCAACCGCGAAAGAAAATCATCAGATGCTAGATTCACAATCTAAATCTGCAATCCAAGAAATCAATGAAACGGAATAGAAACCAGATTAGCTATGAAACGCGGGGGGCTCACAGTCAGATGCTTTGCTTCGTGAGCAGCAGTGTTGGTTTTCCTAGGTGCTGGTGTGATTTTCCGGGATAAGCTTCGCAAAGCTGAGGCAAAGGTTAACGTGCCCTTGGCTCTCATGCACATGGTGACTTGGCATCATATCAAAACACAGTTGACCAGTCGATACAAGTGAAAGGGAGATTAATTCCAGGCCCATCAAGGCGCTGGGGAGAATCAAGACCCAAACCAGCGAATCCAAGACAAGGCGTTGAGTATTAGATCCCTGCTAAAGAGCGTGGAGATGTTCTTTGCCATGTCGGCATGGTGTGCTCTTAATCCCCAAGCCAATTTCAACATGTCAGCGAGAACCTAAAGTTGGAGATCAGAAATGCTGAGGCATATGACGCTGTTTCTGCAGGGTTTCGGGGCACTCCTTGTGTGTACCATGTTACATGTTCCAAGTTGCTTTTTTCTTTCGTCCCAATCCCAAGATATTCGCACAAAGTGCTGTTAATATCACGATGATGTCTGCTGCAGAATTCTTGATGAGCTTTGGTCTCAAGATTGCTGAGCTGAATGAATTAGGACCACTTTTTTTCCCAAGCCGTCGCGGAGAAGATGAAGAGCGGCAACAGCACCAAGGCTCTGAGCCGTTCGGCTGCTTGCCTGTAAGATAAGTACAAGTTCGTTTTCTGGAGGCAGCGTGTAGTCACAAAAGATACACAAGATGTCAACCTCACGCCACAGTAGGCCCAGTAGGCACCTGCTGCCTTGAAATCAGCAGTGTTAATGCTACAAGGACCGAATTCACACGCTGTGGAAAAGTGTTGTCTCTCAGGCCAGCCAAGCGAGAAGTTTCACCGGCACCTTGCAGCCAATTCAGCCGGAAGGGAAACGTCAGTCTGTCTTGGAGTCTTGACTTGCCTTTCTGCACCAACTGGAGATCCTAAAGATGCCATCTTAGGCTTTAGGTCAGGGCCGCCAAGCCTATACCTACCATGACTGAAAGTCAAGAGAGAAATACGGCAAGCAATTCTGCCTGTCGCTGCAGATGCGCATCTGGATTCGGAGTTCGGTTGCTAAGGTACCTCCCGCAGCAACATCAGCAGCGACAGCAGCGACCTTTTCGAAGAAAATTGATAGGCCGGACTGATCGGCCTGGTGCAACAAGGCTTGCCATGCTGCTACTGAACCAGACCAAACAACCAGTGCAAACCTGAGCACATCAGCTTGATGAGCTTGCAAGCGCAGTTGAACCTCCGCTGTCCGGCATCACGCCTGGTGCGTTGAGCGAGGAACACGCAGAATAGAAGTGGAGGTCTGATGATGCTGAATTGGAAGGTATTGGGCCAAGCGGAAGGCTGAGAAAAAATCATGGCGTACATTTCTAGGCAGAGGAGTCACGACAGCGCTAATCTGCCAGTCCCCGGCCTGCCCTTGAAAGTGAGTAAGCATGGAGGTGTTCAGGCAATCAGAAGATTTCCCTCAGAGTTTGGCCGTCAGTTTCGTAAGTCCCTAGAGCCGGGTTGACCTTCGGTGCCTGTGTGCAAGTAGCCCAGGCTTGAAAGTAGGTTGTGTGTGGTTCCTGAAAGCGAGTATTGTCTGGGAGGCCTGCGCCTGCTCCTTGCATTTTTGAGTTGGGTGTCTTATCGAATTCAAGTTTGACTGTACAGTCCTTGAAGGGCCCTGTCGCATAGACCATGTGACGCCAGAGTCTTCAATGTTGCATGCAAGTTGCTGCCTTCTGTCCAGGGCCAAACCCTGGATGGTCCCAGCGAGTTTTAGCCTGTGCTGTAGCTGCGTCGCTAGCAGTATATTTGACAACTATGGTCGAAGTGAGCTTCCACTCACACCGGCTTGGCCCCAACAGTGAGCTCTAAATGGAGGGCATCATGTGCCTTTTGCATTCCAGCTTGCCAGCTGCAAACCCTTCTGCTGACTTTCAGCTTCTTGCTGCTGGCCAGCCTTCATGCTGCAGTGTTGCCTGACTATACAAGCGGGTGTTTTCCCAAATCATGACATGGAGCTTCTCCCATTTCGGGAAATAGGATGATGCCTATAGCGGGAAACAAGATGATCATGACATGGCCACCGTTGCAGCAGATCAGGCGACATGACACAGGTTATCCCTTAGACCAACAAGCAGTCATCTTCACATCGGCAAGCAGCAAGCTCCAACCTGCTTCTGTACAGCGATGAAGTCTACAAGTCGATGAGTGATGCTGGTTGGCCTTTTGGCCAACACAGCTGGGTGACGGCCGCAAGTCTCTCGTCTGAAGCTCTGCTTGTTGCTTTGGGTTCAAAAGCCACCTTTCAGTTTCCAATGTCTGTGGTGCTTGACAAGACCTTGCCAAGTAAAGTTACACATAACCACAGTCCTCACGTAGTTGACAGACGGGAAAGACCAGGCTGGTCCCTAGCTTTTTGCTTCTTAACACCTGAAGATATGAAAGCTGCGACCTCACAAGCTCGCTTCCTTGCCCTTGGAAGGCACTGAAGCCCGGAGATGACAAAGAGTTTTGCAAAGGGTGGCTATTCAGAGCTGTGGACGTGGTATTGCTGAAGGGAAGGTGCTAGAAGCAGGTCTCAGCTAAAACAACTTGGGGAGAAAATCTGGGGCCTTAAGCCTCCGTGTCGCTCAGGGGAAGATGCCCGAAGATGTGGACGTGTCAGATAAGATCCTTGGATCATTCCTACCAGATGTGGCAGAGATTGGCAGAGACATCAGTCTTTAGCTCTGCTGAAAGCTTGCTTTCTTGCCCAGGATCGAGAGCCTGCGCCAGCTGGGGATATGGGAGAAAATTGCTGGAGGAGACATCCACCTAGCCACCAGCTTGAAAGCAATGATGTCGAGGTTGCTCAAAACTGCGGTCCAATCTTGGGTCCCTGTAACGAGAATAAGGATACTGCTACTAGTTGTGATATTTGTGATGCAACTTTCGAAGCTCTTACATCTGCCATTGATAGCCCGCGGAGGCGCTTCCAAAGCGAGAGCGGTAGTCTCCTAGCACCTGTTGTACATTCGTTATTCGACCTAGAAGAGCGTCTCATCCATAAGTATGGCTTTGCGCATTAGGCTATTGTATCAAGGTTGGTCGGCTCCCAGGTGACCTTCTCGGAGGGTCACATGACTTCATGGGAAAGGGAACTTTCTCGTTTTGTGTATAAGTTTGATGTGCTTCATACTGGCATGCTTGTAGGAAGTTGAAATCTGCTGGACATTTCAGGTGACACAGAAAGATGCTCTGGAGCTCTTCCGTGTTCTGGATGACGGTCGCAAAGGGACTGTCAACACATCAGTCGCTTGTTGCACATCTGGGGCTCGGAAGGCATGTTACTAGCTCCTCCTGAGGGGGGCAAACTTCAAGCAGACAGTTCTTTCGCATATGTGCGGGAAGCATCACCTGTTAAATCATTGTGTGGCCATGTGTGGCCTTTGGATCTAGGTTTTGTGACTCTGCAACATGCATGAAGCAACGCAAAGCATCAACCCAAGCGTTAGTACGTGTGCAGAATCAAGCCAGCCAGAACATGTTGCTGTGAGATGTTGTGAGCCCACGTGAGGCAGAAGTAGTGGCCTTCCCAGTGTAACAGTATGAGGATTTGATGACGCTGCAAGCCGTGGACACCGTCAAGCTCACGGAATCAGACCTGAGGGCGCGCTGAAGGGCAAACATGGTGAATATTCAATTTGTCGCTGCAGCGCTAGTTTTGATGATTTTTGATGCCTGTTGTTCTTGTGCTGTTGTAAACACTACCTGTCGGCTTCATTGGCCGGGCTGCAGAAACAAGGAGCATGTTCTTTTGGGGACTTCGGGCTGCAAAAGCCGGGAGGGATGTTCAGAGGATTGGTGGAGGTGCGTGCGTTTATGGCGGCTGGCTGAGAGCAATGGTGCCGAACTTTGCCCTCGCAAAACTTGTACTTTCGGTGATTCGGCTGTGGCCGGTACTGTCCCTGGTATCGGTAACCACTCTGTCGACCTTCGTTTGGTTGGCGGCAGTATTGTGGCCGGCGAGGCCGGTCTCTCTCCCTCTGCTCTTGATGAGGCCCGCCGCGAGAAGTGGTCCAACACCATCTCTCGCTAATCGTGATTCTTCCTTGCATTGCCTTCGTGCCTGGATGTCCGATGCGGACACCCTCCAATCTGCTATTGACGCCGGTAAAGCGTCCAACCCTCTTGAGCCTAAGCTTGACGTCCGTGCTCGGCTGGGCGTTCTTCGCCGCCTGTTAACGGGCGGTCTCAACACCAGGGACCGTGACTCGCGTCAATGCAAGCAGGGTTCCTCTCAGTGCTCGTGTGCGCTTGATGTGGAGTCTGTTCTCCATATTTCGTGGGATTGCCCCCGCCTCAGTTCAGCGCGGTGACCTCGCTGTTCTTTGCAGCCAGCTTCCTTCGCCGTTGCTTGCCTGTTTCCGGTATGCTGTTGTTGTCCGGTTGGCTTTGAGGCGCCTGCTGCCCTCGTTGCTAAGATTCACTGCCGCCTGGTTGATGTCTGGCAGGAATACATTGGGCGTTGGCCTGCCCAGTCCCTGGCTCCTTTGCCTCGTTTTCGCATTCTCGGCAAGCGGCCTCCTCCTGCGCGGTACGTTGCCCCTCCTCCTCGGGGTAATGCAAAAGGTCATGTGCTTAAGGCCGTTGACTCCGGTGGAGCCTTTTGCGTGAAGTGCGGCAGATCCCAGCGCAATGGGAAACAGCGCTGGAAGATCACCCGCCTGGAGCGCCGCCTCAAACATGTTCCGCAGGAGCAGTGGTTGTCCCAACCTTCGGGCAACTTTCATCTTAATCCCAATCGTATTCGTCAACCTGTGACCGAGACTGCTCGTCTCAACAGTGGTGGACATTCGCTATGCTTGCCCACCCTGGCTCGCATCAGTTTGCGGGATCGGTTCCGCTGGTCTCTGCCTTAGCTGTGTTGCAGCTTTTCCCTTGCATTGGCCTTTTGGCCTTATGTGTACCGCGAAGAGGGCGTTGACGGCAGTCTGCCCCTGAAGGTTTGGAACTATTTTTGAGGCCAACAGCGGCAAGATTTTCCGGAAGGAAGGAACATGGGGGAGCAGCACGCATGGCTTTCTCCGTCACAAGGACAATAGGAGGCGGTGCACCGCGTGTTTCTGTCAGAAGCTCTGAAAGCCTTTTGGCCAGGTTTGGGAAGAACTTCTCATGGCTAAGCACGAAAGGTAGGCCTAGCGACATGAAGTGGCGCTGCTTCATGTGCAAGAGCAAGAGAACAGGAAGGGAGGGTAACAAGGGTGAGTCGTCTTTGCCGTAGTAGTAGCAGCAGCGGGTACAGGAGCAGTAGTACGAGTCATGGTGGTGGTGGTGGTGGTGGTGGTGGCGGCGGCGGCGGCGGCGGCGGCGCATAAGAATCGTCAACACAATTGGGTTCTCACTTGGGTCCTTGGACATACTCTCTTCGGTTTATCCTCACTGTAATGTTTTTGCGGCCATTTGAGGTGTCCGAATCCTGATGAACCCCACGAAACCAAAAATCTATGAACAGCATCATTGAATCATCATCAAACTATCACACGCCCTACACCCTTGACAAGAGTGCCATCAAAAGCCATATGCTGGCATCGTGAAACCTGCATCAAGACCATGATAGCCCCCGAAAGGCCATCATTGAGCCATCCTAAACCCATCGCGCACGACCAAGCGCACGACCAAGCGCACGACCAAGCGCACGACCAAGCGCAGAACAAACATCAAGCACCTGTGAGATAGCACGCAGCTAGCAGAACTTCACCAGGTTTACAACAAATTCTGCTGCTGCTCAAGGCAAGGACTCTGTAAAGTAATTGCATGGTGTTCAGCACCTGGGACTGCACTCGTAGTATCTATACCTGTATTCCTTCAGCTATGTCCTAAAGGACAGAGTTCCAAACATCAACCAGAACAGGGGCGCGGACAACTCAGAAGTTTCGCAGGGTACGGTAGATAGCAATCCCCCACTGATGCTGAATTTGGGGATGCTCGTTGCCCCAAAGTAGGTCACGGGCCATCAACCTGTGGACATCCACCTGTCCTGCACCGAAAGGTCTCTTTGGCACTCTGCACAAAGCTGCGCACCAAAAGGTAGTACAGGCATGGCATGTCGCATCTGCCGCACAATCACCCTGAAGTAAAAAGATTTTCTGA